TTCGAGGGCGAGCTCGCCGAGACCATCCCCGTGGTGCACGCCTCCATCGCCGGCTGCCGCATCATCGGGCGGATGTGTGTGGGTAAGCGGGGCGGACGCCGGAGGGCGCGGAGCCTCCCAGCACCTTTCCTTCTGGCCCTGGAGGGGCCCCGGGTGGCCCAGGGGTTCCAGGCGTTCCTCCATGGCGGGCTCTGCGGGCAGGCCTGCCTCTGGAGAAGGCTTCCGGGTTGTAGTCACAACAAGTAGCATTCAGTGTTTTCACTCTTAACCCTTGTTCGCATACCTTCTTCACGAAGACCCTGGGACAGTGATGGCGAACCTTTTGAGCTCGGCGTGTCAGCATTTGGAAAAACCCTAACTAAACTCTGGTGCCGGGTCACATATAGAAATTTTTTGATCTTTGCAACCATAGTAAAACAAAGATTTATACTTTTGGTAATTGATTTTATGTATTTAAATGCCATTTAACAAAAATCAACCAAAAAAATGCGTTCGCGTGTCACCTCTGACACGCATGTCAGAGGTTCGCCATCACTGCCCTGGGAGGTAGGGATTATTGGCTTCATTCGACTGATGAGAAAGCTGAAACTTACAGAACCGAAGTGACTCACCAGGTGCCACACCTGGAGTGAGGCAAGATCAGACTTCTCCCCTGTTGCTGACTCTGGGTCAATTGCTTTTTCTAAGATTTCTAAAAAGCTAAGATTCTGGGGCAACCAGTTCAGTTACTTAAATCTTAAATCCCCATGTCTCTGAGTGGCGTCCCTATCCTACCCCTCAGCACCATTGACTGTCTTTGAGCTGAATCTCTGTTTACTGCCACCCCTTATTTCTAGTTCTGCTCATATAGGAGTTTGTCCCTTTAATTTTTTAAAATCATAATCCTGATGATACTAGCCTTTGAGTATTTTCTTTTTTCTTTTTTTTTATTTTTTATTTTTTTTTTTGAGCGAGAGAGGGAAACATCAATTGGTTGCCTCCTACACCCACTCTGACTGTGGATTGAACCTGCAACCTGGGCATGTGCCCTAATTCGGAATCAATCCCGCAACCTTTTGATTTTACAACATGACACTAGCCAACTAAGTACGCTACACTGGCCAGGGCAGTATTTTCTAACGAAGGCAAAACACTCTTACTCCTAACCATGCCTTCAGAACTTGAAGTTCTGATGTGACTAGGGAGAATTGAGCCTGACCATTGCTGTTTTATTTTATATTATAATGGTAACAACTGAGAATTAAGAAGTTCACAGAATTGTGCCCTTGTAGAGAGAGGCAGAGGTTTAGTCATTGTTGTTACAACATAATTATAATTTGTTCATTCTCGTTTCTGTATAGTATAGTATGTTTTATGTAAGTATATCACAATGTATTTATCCATTCTACTGACAGTGGGCATTTGGGTAGTTTTCAGTTTGGTCTGTTATAAATAGTGCTGCTATATCTTTTAGTGAGTACATGTATTGATTATGTAATACCTAGGAGAAAATGGCTGGGTCACAGGGTATGTGAATATTCAGTTTAGTATATGATGCCAGATAATTATCTGAAGTGGTTAAACAATTTACACTCCTATTGGTTGCTCCATATATTTGCCAACACTTGGTATTGATGTTCTTTTGAAAATTTTAGCTATTCTAATAGGTGTGTGGTGTTATCTTTTAAGTGGCAAAATATATAACTAATGCCAAGAACACTTCCTGCTAGTCCAGGTCCCCCTGCTTGGTATTGTCAAAGTAGGTAGTGTGTGTTGGGACAGACTCCTAGGCTGTCTCGGGTTGCCCAGTAGGACTCCTGATCTCTCTTAGTGTTGTATGGATCAACTGGTTAGAGGGCTGGAGTTGGCCTAAAGCTTTCCTGGGAAAGCTAATTAATTGGGCGGGGTTGTATCCTCAGCTTCCAGAGCTCATCAGGTATCTGTGTATTCATGGTCTTTCCTTGTTCCACCCCGCAATTTGGATCTTTCCAGGGAACAGACACGGTCTCCTGGTGCCCAACAACACTACTGACCAGGAGCTACAACATATTAGAAACTGCCTCCCAGACTCAGTGCAGATCCGGCGGGTGGAGGAGCGGCTCTCAGCCCTGGGCAATGTCACCACCTGCAATGACTATGTGGCCTTGGTCCACCCAGATCTGGACAGGGTAAGGCAGCCTAGCGTGGTCCAAGAGTCACAGTACTAGCCTAGTAAATGGCTAGTCACCATTCTTACCTGTCAGGCAGGAAGTAGGGGTATCTCTTATGGTTTCTTTTTATACCTGTGGTCTCACATTTTAGTTACTCATTGGAATAGTGATAATAGAGACCTTCCATGGTGTGGTCAGTATAAGAAAGAAGCTGGAGAGGGTATTAATCCTTCAGAATTAGGAACTAGCCAGGCCCAGGAGAGATGATTGACACTTGAACCTTGAGTGTGCATTAAAGGGTGGTATGGAGAGCAGTCCCTGGCTGTTCATGGTATGCATGGATATTAGGGGCTCCATAGCTGGCCTCAACTGTGCTCCAAGCTGTATCCCCTCCTTTTTCTGGATCAAGCTTTCACATGCAGCTATGTAGGAGAGGAATGGGGGGTTTAGGGCGTTAAGTCCTGTGTGGTTCTTGGCATGGAGGACCCTGGATTCTTTGACTTGCAAGCCCTGGGCGCTGAGCACGGTACCTCTGACTGACAGGAGACAGAAGAAATCCTGGCTGATGTGCTCAAAGTGGAAGTCTTCAGACAGACTGTGGCTGACCAGGTGTTAGTAGGAAGCTACTGTGTCTTCAGCAATCAGGGAGGGCTGGTACATCCCAAGACTTCAATTGAAGACCAGGATGAACTGTCCTCTCTCCTTCAGGTCCCCCTTGTGGTAAGCATTCTTGTTCTCTGCCTCCGACTGAATCAGATCCCTTTGTCCTGCATTATTGGGCTTATTACCCATCACAGGTTGGGATTGGGCTGCAGGCCAGGGAGCAGGGTTTGGGGGGAGTTCTCATCAGGGTTGGGAGAAACTTTGATTATTGATGTTATGATCCATATTGAGCTATCATTTACAGGCGGGCACTGTGAACCGGGGCAGCGAGGTCATCGCTGCTGGGATGGTGGTGAACGACTGGTGTGCCTTCTGTGGCCTGGACACAACCAGCACAGAGCTTTCAGTGGTGGAGAGTGTCTTTAAGCTGAATGAAGCCCAGCCTAGCACCATTGCTACCAGCATGCGGGATTCACTCATTGACAGGTATCTGGGTCTCTCTTCTGCCCTTTGAAGGTAGGGGAAGGAGATCACCTATAATGGGAGCCACACTGTATTCATACCTGTGGGTTCTACTTGCGTGTGAGGGCACACCTTCACAATGCCGGGCTGTCATAGGGTACAGCTGCAAGCATTGCCTGAGTATCTGCTCATCCCTGTCTTTGAAGACTTGGTTCAGTGTATCTTCTCTCTGGGCAAAGCTTCCCTCTGGTCTGTCTTATTTTATCACTCACCACATGTAGTTTGTATCTGCCTGTGTATCGGTGCCCCAGCCGGCAGACTGATACAGAAAAGAGCTGTTTACTGAGGGAAGGAGGGGGGGCTGCCCTTAGGAACTGAGGAGACCTTAGGTGCCTAATGGACTTGGGGGTGGGGATTGCATCACAAGCACAGTCACCTGGGTTTTTGTGTTTGTTTGTTTTTTAAAGTGGGTTCTTGGGCCGCAACCCTGGACATTCAGGGGTGTGAATCTCTAGAATCTCTTCTTTCTTTGGAAGAGCAGCAGGTGCTGGATATTCGGGCTCCTTCTCTCTTATTCCCCATTGAGGATCCTTCCCAGGATATGCTACACCCAACTAGCACAGGCGTCTTTATGAGAATAGAAACTGCAAAGCGGGTCGAGTGCCCAGTTATAGCACTCGCAGCGGGCAATATTTCCCTTCATTCTCCCTTCTTCATTTATTCATTCTCCTAATGTTCATTGAGCCCTAAAGACAAGGCTTCATGTGGGATAGGCAACTTAGTGCTACTTCTGCCTCTGAGGGGCTCACAGTGTAGCAGATGAGAAAAGTTGTAGTGGCCACACATACTCTTAGCTATCTTCAAAGAGGAAATAAAAGGTGCCGGAAGTGGCTTGGCAAGCTCTAAGAGACACTTTTTGGGATCCAGAAAGGACAGTTCATTTAGTCTGGGCTTTAAGGAATGAGTAGGTAATTGAATATGCATAGATAGAGTGGAGAAGCACATTAAACAGACACACAGAAGAGTATGAAGGGGAAAACTTTTATTCCAAGAGTGTTGGGGACTGAATGCCCATGTCAAGTCTTTTTTTTTTTTCCAATTAGAGTCGACACTCAATATTATATTAGTTTTAGGTATACAACATAGTGTGGAATGAGTATAATTGAATATGCATAGATAGAGTGGAGAAGCACATTAAACAGACACACAGAAGAGTATGAAGGGGAAAACTTTTATTCCAAGAGTGTTGGGGACTGAATGCCCATGTCAAGTCTTTTTTTTTTTTTCCAATTAGAGTCGACACTCAATATTATATTAGTTTTAGGTATACAACATAGTGTTAGACATTTATATAACAAGGAAGTGACTCTCCCAGAAGGACTGGTACATAGTTATTACAATATTATTAACTCCCTATACTGTACTTTACATCCCTATGACTATTTTTTAACTGCCAATTTGTACTTTTTAATCCCTTTACCTTTTTCAACTAGGCCCCCAATCTCCCTCCCCCATGTCAAGAAGTTTTGATTATAGACCTATGATTTTGACCTTTGGTCTGTGTTGGATGATTGTTTACATAGATTCCTGGCATCTTCCCTCAGTCTGGAGTGGGGCCCAACCATGTGTGGTTATTTTAATAAGCTTCCCTGTGTGATTGTGATGGGACAGTTTGGAGACCCACTGACAGACTGTGTGCTGTCAGCCCTAGAGAGCAGTGGGAAGGGTCTGAACAGGAAAGTGGGACCAGTGGTTCTGTCATTTGTTAAACAGCTTTTTTTAAGCACCTGTTATGTGCCAGACAGTAGTGATGTGATGATAAATAAAATATACACTCCCTGCCCTTTTGAAACAGACTTTCATAAGAAAAAGACAGTACTTACACCATTAATCATTTAACTAAAGAACAAAAAAACTCTTAGTAACCTAAGAACAGAAATTTCTGTAACCTGATTATTGGTACCTACTGAAAAATTATAGCAAATGTTGTATTTAATGGTGAAACTTCAGAAATTGTTATTAAAGTTATGTAGTCAGCAGCACTGGTCAGCATTGCAGTTTGATAAGATAAAGAAATGGGTATTGGAAAGAAGAGACAAAACTCATTGTTCTCCTTTGGTTTTGAACTCACTGAATTTGAGGTGCCTGTGAGACCTTAAAATAAAGGTGTCAGGCCACTAGAAATATGTACTTCATTTTTATAATCATGCACATGATTATCGCTTGCAGGAAGAAAGTTCTGGCCTGCGCTCTGCCACTGGGGGATTTGTGGCTTAGGCACATCCCTTCCCCTGTCTGAGCCCCCTTGTTCCTTTCATGTCTGTTGGACTTGACCCTTGAGGATCCAACCTAAGACCACTAACAGTTTGAATAAATTATTTTTTAAACATATTTTCATTGATTTCAGGGAGAGGGAGAGAGGAACATCAATGATGAGAGAGAATCACTGATCAGCTGCCTTCCACACTCCCCACACTGGGGATCTAGCCCACAACCCAGGCATGTGCCCTGACTGGGAATCAGACCCGTGACTTCCTGGTTCCTTGGTCAACACTCAAACACTGAGCCAGGCCGGCTGGGCTGGATAAATTATTGACCCATCTGAACAGGGAAGGAGCTACTTTTACTTTTTAAACATTGAGAGTTCTACATTGGATTGTAACTCAAGGGATCACTGGGACCTGGAAGGGGCTTTGAATATGGTTCTTCAGGCTAAGCTGGAACAAAGGGCCTGGGGTGAGGTTGGAGGCAGGCACCTTGAGAGTGGAGGGTGAGGTGTGCTCTGTGAAGCATTTACTGACAATGCGCCTTCCTCTCTCTCTAGCCTTACCTGAATCACCTCCCATGCCGTTTTGTTGGCTCCTGGTTCTGAACTTTGGCTCCCTCTCAGCGTCCCACCCACTGTGTCCCGGATGTGGCAGAGAGCTCATTGGTATCAGGTGGCTGGGTGCCCAACCCTTCTTCACCAGTGCCCATCTCCTGACTCTGGTTACTGCAAAAATCTACCATGTACTAGCTGTCAGGCCTTCTGGCTGCGAGCTGAGGGCCCTGCTGTCCTGTGCCAGCCAATTAAAGGCAGCTGCTTCTGATCATTCTGAATGTGTTGTTATTTCCGGGGAAAGAAGGGGGAGGATGCGTGGGGGGTACGCACGCACACCCGCCACAGGGTCCCGCCATACTACTCCATTTTCTTATTTTTTTTTAAAATATATTTTATTGATTTTTTACAGAGAGGAAGGGAGAGAGATAGAGAGTTAGAAACATCGATCAGCTGCCTCCTGCACGACCCCTACTGGGGATGTGCCCGCAACCCAGGCACATGCCCCCGACCGGAATTGAACCCTGGACTCTTCAGTCGGCAGGCCGACGCTCTATCCACTGAGCCAAACCGGTTTCGGCCACACTAGTCCATTTTCCTCTCAACTTCAGCCTCACACTTCATGAAAGTCAGCTCCCCCCAGGGCTGGTCTGAGGATCCGGGGGCACCTGGCTATGGGGCAGGCTTGTCCTCTCTGACCCAACATAGTTGGAGGTTGCTGGCCTGGCTGCCCGGGGCCCTGGACAGCCTCCCCCTCCACGGCTCCTCAGTAGCTGGGGTGGGCCTTCTATTGGCCGGGCTGCGCGGGGCGTGTCGCCGCAGGTTGGGACGGGATTGGCCGATTGCTGGTGGGTGGGGTCGAGCTTGTTGGTCCCGCCCCCGGGGCCGGAA